TGGGTAGAGTAAGCACGAAGTAAATATCATATGGCAGACGCACGTTACGGTGGTTTGTAAGTCGTTTTTAGTGCTCTATAACATTTTTAGCGGATATTGGTATTATATTATGTTGTAAATTTTGTTCGTGAATGGTATTGGTGAAAAACATTAAAAAGGTACGCTATTTACGGATATAACAGTAATAATCAAAGCAAAGGACTTAGAAGAGACATTGTTTTTTCGCTAAAATAATTAAAATCCATGAGCCTTTTACCTAGAGCAGCCCTTTCAGTGGCCTGTGGCCGTGCAAATAAATTTAAAACAGAAAATTGTCATATCTCAAAGCAGAACTTCACGTTGGTTCTTTCTCAACTCGGGACTCTATCCTTTTGAAAACTGAATATTTCGTAATATACAGCAAAGGTGAAATTGTATATATATTGCAAAAAAAAGAAAATTTCTACATGTTGTTCTTGATGAAAGAATTAAAAAACTGTCAGTAACTTTGTTCAGAAAAAATTTATTTTGATTTTGTATATACACCCACCATGTAGCAGTAATTTGTATTTAGTACATTATTTTTTAAAAACAAATTTTTGTTATCTTATACATAAATCCCACCTTTTCATAAAATATTGTTACGCAGCACCCTGTAGCGTGCTGCAGTCGTCATAAGTAAAGGTACGAGTAAATAAAGAAGATAGAATATTCCCGAAATGTTTCGAAATGTCATTCCTTGTCAAAGAAAAGTCCATATTGTTCGAGAAGGCATCGTTCATATAAGATGGAGAAGGGTCTAGAAGGTCGAGACAAGCTATATAAGTCGACGACCTGACGTCAGTTGGCAGTTGAATTGAGTTATTGTAAAAGTTGAGTTCAAATAAATTGTGATACCAAAAACCAGCGTAACAATATGTAGTTAAGTATATTCAATATTGCAGATAAATGAGTCACACCAGTTGCTAATCCTAATCAGGTAAAAATTTCCGGCGTCCCAGATGCGAAACTTATATGCAGGGTTACCAGTTAAGAAGTTTCGAGTTGCGAAGATACCCTTCTCATTATCGTTATAGAAACTATTTTTTTGAAATTCTTCAAAATTAAAAACCTACATTGGAATATGTATGTATAACAAAAATAAATCATTAAAAAGAAACAGGAAAAAAAAAACTGTTATTTAAATAAATATTTCTTTTATGTATGTATTTGCATTTATTTTCCATCATAGTTCTTTCTTTAACTATCCCATAATAATATCCTTAGATTTCATGTAATTCCTTAAATATTATCCTTTAATATTCATGAAATGTCTGTAAATAACATATATTTTCCTCACACTTCGTGAGTATTTTTAAATTCGAGCCTATATAAATTCTACGCGTGACGTCATGCGCGTGGCTGTCCTATTTTTGAGGCTGTCCTACCTTTTATTTTTTATACCATGCGAAACACTAGATTTCGGGCTTTATTGGACAGGTAACAAAAAATGCGCGTTTTTTAATATATGTATATGTTTTATGACGTCATTACTATTCGAAATATGACATCATTTCCAGTTTTTCAAATGGCAACACTTTTTTGCGCGTATGAACACCAAATTGTTACATACCAATATTTTCGAGATATTTTTTTTGAGAATTGGCATCTAAACGTAGTTTTTGTCACAGACTTTTGTAAACCGAATAATTTTTTGTTTATTTATATTTTAATATTTTCTTTAATTAAAAATTCAATAATTAAGTTATAGATTTTCTCATTAAATGAACTTAATAAAATAGAAATACTTGATGGAAAAAGGATATTCAGGGAAGAAAGTTTTTTAAGAAAATCTGAACGATGAGAATTATGGTGGCTACAAGAAAAAATGAGATGGTTGATATCAGCAAAAGAAGAATTGTCGCATTGACAGAAAGGTGATATACTAATAACAATTCTGGAAAGGTGAGACGGAAAACCTCCATGATTTAGTTTCATCCTTGTTAAAGTTTTATCTTGAACCGTCAATAAAGCCATGTATTACCATAGCGATTTGCGGTAGTAAACACACATTTTATCTCACTGTAAAAATCAAATATTTTATCTGCCGCTAATATTTATCAACACAACCATGAGCGTCTGACAGAAATAGTCTGTAACTGATTTTTTTGTATGGGCTGTTATTTTTCTGTTTGTTTATTTTGTCATAATAAAAGGTGATAATATCGCCTTTTTTATTAATTATCATTATTTACGGTTGTCCATAAGTTTGTATGGACCACGTCAGCAAAGTGTCTTTATCGAACTCGCCTGTTGCTCGTCTCATAATCTAAAACTAGTTCGATAAAGAATCATTTTGCTGACTTGGTACATAACTAACTATTACTTATTGTTACTACTAAACAATGTCTTGTAAGAATTTTTTTTCAGTATTTAGAACTGTCATTAAAATCCCTTCACGCGTAAATGTTTATTGAGGGGGACATCTTTTTGGCGCACCGTTGAGATGCGCATCACTCATCCTCTCGCCAAGGCACACCACCCCCTCAGAATTATAAAATAGTATAACTTATATTGTGATACCTCATTTTATAGGCAATTCCATTATAAACTCAGCTATGTAATTTTCAGGCCTTATTTTCGATTTATCCCGAAGTATAGTACAGTTCTGTGTCAGAAGGCATAATATAAACAAGTATGCGTATCACTTTTTTATCAACAGTACATAAAAAATATCCCCTTTCAATAAAAATTGACGTGTTTGTGCCTTGTTCTGATTATATTCAGGATATTATGTTCTTTTTAAAAATCACCCTGTACAGAAATGTCCATTGATTTCAAAAACAAATATAAAAACTAGATTCTCCTATTATTTCTTAAACAGCAAATTTTAATCAAAATAATAATATATAAAACATTAAAACAAATATACAAATTAAATTTGGTGGGTGGGGTTTTCCTCACCTTTAAGTCAAATGGCGCCATCAACCATCTTTAAGTCGCCCCGGAGCGCCACGGCAAATAATAATAATAATAATAATAATAATAATAATAATAATAATAATAATAATTATAATAATAATTTGGGGGGGTGGGTGGCTCAGTGGTAGAGTCTCTGCCTGTCAATGAAGAAGCCTACTTTTTCCTTTTTTCTTACGAAGACGATGTCAGGTCTATTGCTGGATACTGGTTTGTCGGTCTGTATTGGCGTACAGAAGGTACGTATCACTTTCTAGGACTGAATTATTTTTTTGTGGTCAAACTGGATTTTCAAAAAATTCGTAACAATGCAAATTAAACCTTTCACAAGTTTTGAAAGTGGAATAGATTATTGTTGAGGTTCCATTTGAATCCCAAACAATCCGTAATATTGTGATTGCATTCCAATAATAAAGAAACTATTTAAAATACATAAATATACACCCAGTTGAAAATTGTTTAAATAGCAAAATACTTGACAGCAGGTGTAATAAGATGTGAATCAGTTATCAAAATGTAATTTTCATATCAGGTAATAATTGTTTTTTTTTCACAATGGAGGTGAGTAATACGTTTATCATTAATGACATCCATAATGTTTGAAAAATACTAAGATCATTCAATTATTTTTAGAGATGTATGTATAACTAACAACTCGAGAAAAAGCATTGTTTAAAAGAAATAAAATATAATACAAGTTATAAAAGTAATTTTAAAAAATCGGGCAGATGCCATCACCAGATCTTGACCAAATTTATATGGGACCACCCCTGAAGTACCCCCTTTTTATCAAAAAAATCATTAAAAAAATCGAACAACATGGTAAAGAATTATCGCAGAACATAAAATATATATCGACGAATTGACGGATAGATATAGAATGGAAAAAAGAAGCCAAACCCTGGACAAAAAACATAAATGAGAAGTAATAAATAAGACTACAAAAGCCCTAATGGTATGCCGAAACATTGCGAGAAAAAGATAAAGATGTAACCCAAAACACTGCGATGGATGTATGCAGGAATAGTGGGACCAATCATTATCACTTACGGGGCTGTAGCCTGAAGTAACAGAACTAGTTTAGCTACTACGAGAGCTATTTCTCAAAAGTACAAAGAATAGCCTGTGTTTGCACAATTGGTGCAATGCGAACCTGTCCTACAGCCGCAATATGGGGGTGATCTTAAACCTCATCCATCTACATTTTTTTAATGGTAGAGAACGTGGCAAAAAGGACATGAGAACCGCAGTAATCAGAAGGAGTCTATTAGCTCTAGAACCAAATACTCGGAATAGGCCCCAGGACGAAATAAAAAACCACAGAACTAATCTGCAAGAACGAATTGAATGAAGAATCCATCGTGTTTACAACCGGAAAGCATGTAATTCAGTGGTATAAGGATGGAATAGGAGTGTATGGGCCTAGAACAAGTACTCTGAAAGTTTGGGTAATTACCCAAGCATCTACCACGCGGAAATTCACGACAATGAGAAGTGTATCTAGTTCAACGTCGAGAGAAACAATCGCAGATAAGAGATTATCATCATGTCTGATAGCCAATCAGCCATCAGAGCGCTGAGCTCTTGTAATCAGCTCAAACATGGTCTGGAGATGCCTAGAAAAACTGAATGAGCTAGTCGAGGAAAATACACTTACTCTCATTTGGGTCCCGAGATATAACGGGGTTAAGGGCAACGAGATTGCAGACTGTTTCGCAACGAAAGGGGCTCAGATACCCTTTGTGGGACCCGAGCCGTTTTGCGGTATCAGCAGTAACACAATATTAGGAGATATTAAAAAAGAATTGGGCAGTAGAAGAACTGATAATTGGAACACTATCTTGGGGCTAAGGTACTTCTGGGTTACTATAGAAGGGATGCTTACCGGACATTGCCGACTCAAAGAACACCTTAGTAAATTGAGAGTATCCATTAAGTTTAAAAAATTCGTTAAAAGGAAAAAGAAATTGATAACGGAGTGCAAACTCACTTGATTTAACTTCAGAGATTGTATAAAAAATTATTTTTTTTATAAACAGTTAATAAATTATAAGAATTCTTACCTTACTGGTTAAGTCTCTATGTATGACACCTTTCGAATGCAAGTAATGCATACCACTGGCTATATCTTTAGCTATCACTATTCGAACTTCCTGGGCTATATCCACGGTTCTATCGTGGATAAGCTGAAACAACGAACCGCCGTCAATGTACTCGGTTAGGGCGTGGAGTTGCGCTTTGTGAACGCAGACACCCATAAGACGGAGGATGTTTGGATGTGAGAGTCGGTTCATAAGCTGGATCTCTTTGAGCATGTTTCGACGGTTGGAGTGGCGCATGTTCATCTTCAGAACCATGACTTGGCCAGTTGATTGGTGGGTCACCTGAAAGCAAAAAAAATACATTGTAAAATCTTAAATATCCAAAGCATACATTTTTTTGCAAATAAATGAAGTGATAATAGTTCAGATAATTTTAATTACATAAATTCATTGGAAATTTCCAAATAAATAGTTCAAAATTACCTCTAAGAAATGATGAAAATAATTTTTAACCTCCAAGGTTAAAAAATATTTACTAAAAAATTTAAAAACCCGGTCCCGGGTAGGATTCATTCTACGCACGCTACTTTGCCAACATGCCAACTCGGCCATTAGATGTCCGAATTTTTAATTTGAATATTACATTTGAATCTTACTCGGTAACAGAATAGTCTCAATTTTTCAATATCATCGTCAAAGGAAATATGTCAAGGCCCATACAAGAAATCCAGAAGGATATTATGGATCATTAACCAGATTATCATCAGAGCAAAGAAGCTAATACATGTAAACATACCTCTCTTAAGCTGACAGGACCAACTAGGCAGAATCGATTAAGATCTGTTACATTATTTAGTACCTATTTTGTACTAATTTGTACCACAAATAAAAATTTTGTACCATGTGCCGTTTTCAAAAAAAAAAAAAAAAATCGTGGGGCTGCTAGGTTAATATTAAGCTAGAAGGACCACATTAAAGAAATAAAATTACAAATAAAACAAAGGTAGAATTAAATAGTATATTACGTAACAAGAGTTGTAAGTAACCCATTACGCACGAAGTGAAAAAGTTTACGCACGAAGCCGCGCAGCGGCGAGTGCGTAATGGGCTTACAACTCGTGTAACGTACTATACTTTTTCTACGCCCACTTAAAACATTTTCAAAAAGGATTAAACGTTAGGCTTGTGTTGCCAATCCATAAATTTTCGATAGGTAATTTCGTACCTTTCTTTGGATTTTAGCGGTAACAAATGTGTGGCAGCTTGAGCTTTTTCTAAAATCTCCGGTGGAGTTCTCCTAATTTCATCACTTTCATTGCTAACAAACATATTCGTAGGTACAGTTGAGAAAATGTTCGGATACAATCATATTTTGTTACAAAAATTGACAATATAAATGGCATGACGTCCAGAGCATGCTAAGAAAACGCGACATATTATTAGAAATATTGTATAATATGTTGCCGACATTTAGGGGCATCACTCTTTTAATCCAAAATGTATCTCGCTAACGCTAAGTATTTATGATTTTTATATGACTAAATTTATGTAAATAGACCAAATAAAGTCGTACGTAAACAAAAATTTGATTGCAATTTGATTAAACCAAGAAATTTAAGTTTTCTTATCAAAACGCACATGTATGTTACGAGATCTCATTACGTGCATGTTATTGTTGATAGTGCGATTTTTAAAGTTTACTGGCATGGGCGTAGAAAAAAGAATGAATTTGTACCAATCAATTTTTTGTATTATGTAATGTTTACAAAAAAACACATGATGCTTCGTAATTAAGCTAGCCGGACCACATTAAAAAAATAATAAAAGGTAGAATTAAAAAGGACCGATTTTATACAAATTTGTACCATTAAAACAAACCTAATTTATTTAATCAAACTGCCTGAAACAACTTTTAATTGAATTCAAATCTGTTATTCTTAAGAAAAAAGTGACTTTTTGCACAAACAAAATCTATTATGTTTGCATAAGAAACAACATAACTTGTACTGTTAAAATATAAACATTCAGAATTTGTACCCTTGTCGTAAGAAACTATCCTGACCTCATATTAGGCTCAAGAGGAAAGTATCCTTTTGCACGAGCAGAATCAATAGTTATTCCTGCAATAAAAGAACCATAATTTGTACCATTAAAATATAAAGTTTCAGAATTTGTACCCCTGCCGTTCCTATAGAAACTATCCCGAACTCATATTAGGCTCAAGAGAAAATTATCCCTTTGCATGAGCAGAATCAATCGTTACTCCTACATTAAAAGTTTGTGCAAAAGGATACATTACTCTTGAGCCTAATATGAGTTCAGGATAGTTTCTACAGGAACGGCAGGGGTACAAAATCTGAAACTTTAAATTTTAACGGTACAAATTATGTTACTTTTATTTCAGGAGTAACTATTGATTCTGCTTGCGCAAAAGGGTATTTTCCTCTTAAGCCTAATATGAGTTTTGGATAGTTTCTATAGGAATGGCAGGGGTAAAAAATCTAAAACTTTATATTTTAACAGTACAAATGATGTTACTTTTATTGAAGAAGTAACTATTGATTCTGTTCGTGCAAAGGATACTTTTCTCTTGATTCTACTAGGAATTTGGCATAGTTTCTTAAGGAACGGCATGGGTATAAATTCTGAAAGTTTATATTTTAACAGTACAAATTATGTTGTTTTTTTTATGCAAAAATAACAGAATTGAATTTAATTAAAAGTTAAGTTTTTTTAATGGTACAAATTAGTACAAATTCAGTCCTTTTTAATTATATCTTTCTATTTTTTTAATGTAGTCCTGCTAGCTTAATATTAAACTAGAAGCACCATGTGTTTTTTTTTGTTAACGGTACATAGTACAAAAAATTGATTGGTGGTACAAATTCAGTTCTTAATTCTACCTTTGTTTTATTTTTTAATGTGGTCCTGCTAGCTTAATATTAACCTAGCAGCGTTTTTTTTTAAATGCCACATAGTACAAAATTTTTATTGGTGGTACAAAGAGTTTAATTATTCTAATTTATATTCACTAAATACACCAAACTATTTTTTTTTTTAATCAAAAATACTAATTTATATTTACTTTATCCATTTATCTTTACTCAACAATACTTATCTCCAAACTAATTAACTAACGGCAAAATAATCAATTTGTATACAAAAATTTTACGCCCTAGACAAATCCAGTCCTGTCTCGAAGAATCTCGATGCTCTAGACCAGTGATACTCAAAGTGTGCTCCGCGAAGAAAATAATAGTCATAATAAAAAAAAAAAAGAAAAGAAGCAGTACTATCGCCACAAAAGGGATGGACCTGGCTTGAGGACTTACGGAGGATATGATTTTGCTTGAAAACTTTTTTTTTGTAGAAATGTGTTTAGGGCTCCGTCAAATATTTCCCTTTTCAAAAAGGTTCCGTCGCTAAAAAGGTTTTAGAACCACTGCTCTAGACGTTTTCAAAACTTTTCCTTTGCTAGTCGACCCGCGTACAAAATAAATTTCCAGTAACTTCTCGAGTCTCGATAGACCAGCGATAGCGAAACAAATGCGGGCAGCTGAACAGCGATAACGTAAACAAAGATCAGGTCTGGGCTGGTTTAAAATGGCTGGCACGACAATATTGATATATTATAGATATTCAACTAATTCAAAATCGCATTTCCTTTTCCTCAACAAAAATTTTATTCACATCGTCAACTGATATTGAATTCGCAGTGTCAGATTATTTGATAAAACTGCTAAAACGTTCACTCTGTTTTCGGACATATTTGAGCGTAATCATGTTTTAATTCGTTTCAAGTATGAGATCGAACGTTCCGAAGAACAATTCCTTACTGCCATTGATTTGTAAATTCTTAAAATTATGTGGATATTAGGAAAAATCCAGTTGCACATATTGTTGATGTTTACATTTTTTTTTGTCGTTTAGTGCCAAATGCTCTTTGAGGTGCAAGATATCTTCAACTGGATCGTCTGAAATATCATGTGAATAAACTTCAGACAATTTTAACGCTTCACTCTTTATTTCTCCAACAGAGTGTTCGCAAAATTTAAAGAGAATGTAGAAAATCTCGAACGTACGTATATTTACGACAGTTCAATTCCGAGATTAAGACTAGCGCTACATTAGGCAGAAATGCAGCCTGGCAATTGAATTTACTACTAAAAGATTTGCAGCTCAGTTTTGGTGGTTGAACTTCTGCCTAATCGATTTACAATTGTAAGGAAAACGTTTATTTTTAAAATCATCATTAGCACCGAACAGAACTTCTTCATCATCGTTGCTTTCATCGAAACATAGCTTTCTCTTTCTAATACGCTTTTCCCTTGCAGTTTAGTTTTGCCTACCAATCAGCGCCTTGACCTCCTCTTCATGAATAAAAGGGAAGTTGAAATGAATGAAATTAAGGATTTTTACAAATCCATGACCAATTCAATATCTGCGGCTTCCTGTTATAGTTTTTTAGTGAATACATTGATGTGATTCAGAATACTATTAAAAAAAAACAACTCATAAACGCAGTTTCAAAGTCATTTTCCTGATTAATCCTTCTGCCTCTGTTTTCGTAATCGCCTTCTCTGAACTGTCATTTGAGATTGATTTCAGAATATCGTGAATATCTTTCCAAGACCTTAAAAAACCTTTGCAGGCATCATAACTACAAGACCATCTCGTGAACGACAGACTCTTTGGTGTTATTTATCGTTCTTCTTCAGTCCATCCCGACATCGTTAATGCCGAAAAGAAATTGTAGATTTCTTGTAGAAATGTAAAATAATTTGTAGATTCATTACAACAACTTACCGCGAACAGAGTAGAAAGATAAGAAAACATTCTGCATTCGAAAATTTGCCGCCGTAAGCTATAGCCTATTCAGAAATTCGCCAATGCTTATCGTCGTTCAGCTGCTAGTCTGTGTTCCGCTTTGGCTGCCCGTCTCGAGACTCGATAAGTTACTGGAAGATTTTTTGCGCGCGGGCAGACTAATAGAAGGATTTCGAATGTCTAGACCAGTATTTCCCAAAGTGGTCCAGGTTGGACCCCCAGGGGTACACGGGAGACTCGACGGGGTCTACGTTGGGCGTAATAAAAAATGGGGGTCAACAATCGTAAGCGTGCATGAAAATTAATTTGGTTTCGATAGTGAAGCAATATACTATTAAACAATTGATTACTCATTTTTCCATGTGATGAAGAAATTCTTGTAAAAAACTTCAAGTGTTTATAATATAAACAGTCAACATTTTGGTTACTAAAACTTATCAATATAGGCAGATAATATTTCAAGAAGCTCAGCGACTGTTACTTGTAAAAACTTGCATATTCCATATACAGTACAA